TCAGAAGTACCTGGCCTGAGTTTGGGATGAAACTATAAAGACCTAGAGAGGGAGAGGCGTGGCCTGAGGCTACTTTGATAACCCACATAGAGTAAAAGGAACATGGAGTTGGGTAGCAGCATGAAGAATGAAGTGTTTCTGTACTCCATTGAGCTATCTGTGGCTAGATGCGCTTTGTTCATGCTACAAAATAGCCAGCAAAAACAACCTACGGAAGGAAGAAGGGTTTGTATTGGCTCAGATTTGAGGTGGGGTGCAGTCTATCACATTGGGAAGGGAAGGAGCTGAGAGCAGTCCATCTGGAGTGGTGGCAGCCTGTAGCAGCTGGGCACTTCCAACCTCAGCCAGGAGGAAAGGAGAGGAAAGTCAATGCTGGGGCTCATTTTTCCACCTTTATTTTGAAATTAGTCTAAAACCCCGCATGAACTGTACATTTTTTTCTGTTGTTGTGAAATTACCTGTCTCATTTCTAAATATGGGGAGACCATGTCATCTACATCTTACTCTCATTTGTATGTAGACTAGAACATCGAACAGGTTCATACTCAACCCCTGATCACCAAAGTCTCCCAGTATGATGATTTCATTTGTAAAATGGAGATAATAGTACCAAGCTCCTGATTTAAAGGCATTAACTGAGGTAGAAGTAAATTGCGATATAGAGTTTAGTGTGTTGTAACTGTAGACAATGAGTGGTTACCATGGTAACCATAACCACCATTGTCATTACCTAGTAATGCACTAAACACCTAGGAAATCCCTCACATATCCAGGTGTTGTGGCTTACTCATATTCTCAGCATTCTGAGAGGTTAAGGCTAAAGAATTACCATGAGTTCAAGGTCTGATTTGGCTACATGAGTTTGAGGCTAGTCTGGAATATGTAAAATGCATCCTATCCCCAAAATATGAACTAACTAACTAACAACTAAATCAATAAAAAAGAAAATTTTCCACATTTTCCTGATGAGTGATTTGATGATTCAGGCAAATTATGCCAAACTAAGCTCTACTTCAGTTTGGTTCTTTTGTTTGGGGTTTGTTTGTTTTTTGTTTGATGATTTGAAAAAGATACTGATTATATGAATACATAATTTCTGGTGCACGTATGTACAGCACGAGTCTCCATCTTGCTTATCTAAAAACTGAATGAGGATGGTGTAGGCGATAAGATTAGAACAACCCAGAAGAGTTTGTGAAGCCCTCTCCATTTCCATTTGTTTAAAATATCATAACTTCCTGTCTGTCATCACCCTTTTGACAGACTTTCCGATCTCTGGAGCATGATCTGTCTGCGTGGGTACCACAGACTAGCAACTTCCCAATTGCAAAGTTGCTCTTTTTAGACCCAGTTACTATGCTGTTGGCTGGTACTGTTTGTTTTACTCTTTCAGAAGCACACATCTCAGTACATTTCCTATTGTGGTGCTCACCTTCGTTCTGTGTGTCTATTTGGGGGAGAATTATAGAATGGGAGTAATGATATACTGCCATATAAAACCAGCCTTCAATAGCCCATGACATCATCTTTGTCTGTAAAACAGGAAGGGAGGAAAGAAGCTATGTCTGGAGCAACACCGGCTCCATTCTTTCTACACATCAAACTCCTCAGGATTAGAAAGGGGTCTACGACACAGTGACATTAACATTTGAAGATGGCATTGTTCCAAGGTGTAAACCTAGCAGCCATTGGCCACAAAATCTCTATGTTCATGTCTCTGTGAAAACACAGCATAGAAAGAAAGAACCAGATTCCATTCTGGAGGCTTAGACCCCTCCCCGAGTCACCGATCAGCCATAGGTTCCCTCCTAATTTTAATTGTTCAAGTTTTGAAAACCTAGCCACAGTATTATTATCTTAATCTTGTAAAAATAATCTTGGTATCATGGCATTTTGTGGCATATATAATTTGAAATACTTTGAAATCAAGGATTCAAGATTATTCAACAAAGGATAAATTCTTAAACTATATTTCAGGAAGGGAATCTATTCAGTTTTTCTGAGAGCTCTGTATTTCATCTGACAAATAGAATTTTTTAAGTATTACTATTCTGGACATTAATAAAATAAAGTCTGCTAAAACTATAATTGCATGTTCTATTCCTTGGCAGTCAGGAGGAAGGGTGGCTTTTTGGGCTCACTCAGTCTCTCTGCTTTCCTAGAAATCAGCAAGGGGGCTGATAGGAGTCACTAAGCACAGCTCTTGGTTTTGTTGACAGAGATTTAAAGGGGTAGCAGCTGCTAAGGACAGTGTGCTGGAGGTGGGAGCTAGGTTTTTATAGGAGTACAGACGAAGCCTTTGGGGATGGGATTTGGACCTAAGATTATACCACTGCCTGGGTATAAACTGTTCTAATTTATTTGGCAATCAAGAGGAAACCTCACAGTTTCTCATGTCATCATGGCATGATGTTGCTACTGAACAAAGCCTTTTCAGAACTTGGAAAACTGAAAGTACAAAGTGCTGTGCAGTTAAGTCAAGCCTTATCAAGTCAAGGGGGTGACAGGAAAGCCAAGGAGAAGGCTACAAGAAAGCCAGTCTTCAAGAAAGTTACAGAGAGAGAAAAATATTCTGGACATGGTGAGATTGTTTCATCTTTAAGCACCCTTAATGAAATTACTTGGCTTTTGCGAAGGAGTAAGGATACTGTGAGATGGTTCCAGAAAGATGAACAGTCATGTTTATTAAGGCTGTCTGTAGTGAAACGTCACTTCATGAAAAGCACTGCTCTCGTACACTGAAAACAACAATCATCAATGTTGAGATTTTTCCCAAGGCTGCTGAGAGAGGAGTGCATTGTGTTGAGATTACACAACTGTTACTATATGCACTGGGGAGACTGGCTTAGCTGTCTTCTTGGGAGATGACACACGGGGCTTCAGTTTCCCTTGCCTTGGACTTCCTCTTGGGTCCATATGGAAATGACACGACCTACATCTTGGTGTGGAAGCTCGTAGTTTACTAAGTATAGGGATTCTCAGGGAACAGGGCTTTCAGTGCAATGGCTGTATTAAAGCCAGGTCAGTTCTCTACCTCCCTGTCTCCCTCTGTTTCTCTCTTCCCAAGGCTGAGGATCAAAACCAGTTCTCTAGTATGCTAGGTCAGCAGTGTGGCAGTGAGCTACATCCTCAGTCCTACTATTAAGTCACATAGAACCTTTAAATCATTTTTCATCATTTAAGTATGCTTTCAAACAATGACCCTTTATTAGAAAGAAAAAAAACCCTTTACTTAGTGTTTACCCCCTCCCCCAAAAGGTAGAAAATTGTGCTGTGTGATACTGATCGACTGGGAAACTCATGTTCTAGTTGTTCAGTTTAATATTCCGTAGGAAAAGTTCAAGCCATTGCTAAGGAAGTTGTATATAAAACAACAGCTTCAGTTTCACATAGGTGAAACTTGGCCATCCCAAAGTGGGCAAAGCATTAGAAACCCTGGTGATGTCGATGCATGCCTTTAATCCCAGCACTCAGGAGGCAGAGGCAGGCAAATCTCTGTGAGTTCGAGACCAGCTTAGTCTACAAGAGTTAATTCCAGGACAAGTCTCCAAAGCCACAGAGAAACACTGTCTCAAAAAACCAAAAAAGAAAAAAAAAGGAAAGAAAGAAAAGAAAAGAAACCCTGGCATGCCACACTGAGCAGGTCAGAGAAATAGCCCAGTAGTTTTACAATTTACCAGTGTGGCTGTCCACTCATGTATTAGCTGTGTTTACTCTTAGTATTGATTTTCAATAAATTAATAGAAATAAAATCTAAAAAGTTGCTTGGATTCTTTATTAGTCCCTTTTCATCTGCTGATAAAATACACCCAAAACAAGCAACTTGAGGGAAAAGGGTTTGTTCTGGCTCACAGTATGAGGATTCTATCCATCAGAGAGGAAGTCATCAAGACAAGAGTACAAGGTGGCTGGTCACAGTGCTTCAGCAGTCAAGGCATAGGGTGACAAGGCCAGTTGCTTTCTCCTTTTTCTGCTGTTCAGGACCCTAACTCATGGGAGAGTCTTGCCTGATTTTAGGGTGTCTCAATTGACCTAGAAAGTGCCTCCCTCACAGATGTGGCCAGAGGCCAACTACAATGTAGGTAATCTCTCACAGGAGCACCAAGAGGCTTGTTTCCTAGGGGACTCCAGATCCTGTCAAGAGAACAACAGTACGAATCTCAGACCCCACACTTCTTTTTGTTTTACCATGTCGTGCTTTAGTTTATGAGACAGGGTCTTGTTATGTAAGCCAGACTGGCCTTGAGCTTCTGATCCTCTTGCTTCTGCCCCCAATGTGATATTACAGGCATATGCCACCACTCCTGGCTGGATCTCAACTTTCTAATGTGTGGAACTGACTGTATTTTCCGGGGAGTCTGGCAGGAAGTTTTTGAATGTTACATGATAGTCTTTGCTTGACCAAAGTTCAATCAGTAGATTGTACGTTGTATTAAGCGTATCAGTATGCTTCCTCAGAAAAATCCAGTTTCAGCAAAGAACATGACAAAGTCAGTGTAATGTAAGTCCCACTTTGGATATCTAATCGGGCCCCTTATCTTCCAGCACTCCCCAGAAAACTTTTGAATATCTTGGCCTGTCAGCAGTAAACACCCTGTTGGTTGGCTTATCCAGACTTTTCAGTGTCCCCAAAGTGTCCTTAGTTACTCTCCACCCATCCCATCCCACTTGTCCCTTCACCATAAGTGTCTCCACCGTGCCGAATGTGGACTTGAATGGCATGTCTTTCCCCACTGCAAGGCTCCAGTGCAGAGTGCTTCTCACATTATGGCCCGATACTGAGGCAAGCCTCTGCCACGCTTTAGTCAAAGTCACAAAAAGATTAAAAACATAGTCAAAACATCACCATGCAAGACGAAATCCTTACCATGTTTCTGGGAACTTTAATGGAAAATTTATGAAACTTACAGACCAGGTACTGGACAGGAAGAAATCTCTTCTGCAAAGAAAATAATAATCAAAATGATCGTTTCATGCAAAGAAATGAAAAGGCTCCTGACTTGATTTTCATGTTATGTTTATTACTAATATCGTTTGGATTTGCAGTCCAAGTCTTTCACGTACAGCCTTTGGGGACAGAGAGAAATAGCAATGACAATCTAATTAGCCAGAGAACAGACTTCTTTCTGGTAGCAAAGTATGAACTGTGCAGCAATTACTTCTGCTTTGAATAGAAACCAAGAATGAAAATCTTTTTAAGAAACAAACATTCTTGCAATTCCTCTCCATGATAACTGTCCCTAATTGATACATTTATTTAACCCAAGTTTTAAGTCATTAATACACATACATATCTATGATTAAACCCTAATAAGTGTATGCTCTCCAAGCTGCATGATGCTGTCAACCATGAGACAACCTCAAAAATCAAGCAGACTAGGATCTGTACCACTGTCACACTCAGAGTTCAAGTTTAAATCATCTGCTAACAAATACTCCACACCCATGCAATGATACAGTGTTCAAACTTGATGGGAGGAAATGCCATATTATGTCTCTATCATTGGGATGCCTCACCCTTTAGATCAGGTTTAGTAAAACACTATGTAGCTTCTAGTGACTGAAATATGTCTTGCAACAAATGTGGCATACCTTTCAGGAAAATGAGACCCTCTCCTTTGAGTCTTGCTAGACCAGTAGTTATTGACATCTTCCCAACCGTAAGAGCCTGGATCTCAGGGTGGCTGAATGTCAGTGGTGGAACTGTATCCCTTTCTAGCCAACTAGAGGGAAATCCCACGGTGGACCCAGTACTGATTTGCAGTGGCATTCTTGCTTTGCAAAGTTATCTACACAGTTTGACTTGTTGAAGCATCACTGACTAATGAAGATACTTGTGTCCTCATGAACAGAATGTGCAGCCTGTCTATTATGTAGGATAAGTTCAGATAACGCAGTACAAATGCCAGTTTTGGTGTAGTGCAAGCAGAGGGTGAATGCTTTTTATAATAATATCTACAACATCTGCTTCTTTTGAGTCTAATGAGTTTTAGCAAAGAGTGTAATGTGAATCAAATGGTGGAAATAAAGCCTAGGACTTACAAAAGAATGTAGCAGGATAGGATGTGGACCCAACAAATAACATCTTTTCTGGTAAATCCCAAGTTCTTGAAACAGCCTAATCCAGAATGACTCAAACACTATGGTTAATTTGAACCTGATAAGGATCATATGCACAGGATTCTCTTTTTTGTGGTTCTTTTTTGTTTGCTTGTTTGTTGGTTGGTTCTTTGAGACAGGGTTTCTCTGTATTGTTTTGGAGGCTGTCCTGGAACTCCCTCTGTAGACCAGGCTGGCCTCAAACTCACAGAGATTCGCCTGCCTCAGCCTCCCAAGTGCTGGGATTAAAGGCATGTGACACCAACGCCCGGCTCATATGCACAGGATTCTTAAGACTCTACTAGCCTGACATTATTTTAAGATTCAAAAATAAAACTCATAGGTGATAAAAATGGTATTTTATTCTTTAAGGGAATAAGCATTATATCAATTTTATATAAATTAACAGTGAAACTTTTGATGTTGGGTTTTTTTGTGTATGCTTGTTGCTGTTGTTTTTTGATTTGGTTTTTTGTTTGTTTGTTTGAGACATGGCCTGGAATTTTTACCAGTCCCTTTTCTTCATCCCTGGACTCTGGGGTTGCAGGCATATGATGGAACCATACCTGACTAGCAATCAAATTTTGGAAAGCAGTCATCTATTCTCTTGCTGCCTAATTGAACAAATAAGTATCTGGCCACTCATGCCACCTGTACTTACTGTTATTTCTTCAAAATTTTTAAAAACTTCTAAGGTAAGAGACCATCTGCATCCTCGAGGTTCATTTTTATTCTGTGAAAGACACCATCATAATGATAAGATGAAGGATTGGTCAGAAAGGAAAATCAAGCACAAATTCCCCCCCCCTTTTTTTTAGAGACAAGGAGATATTAAATACTCAAGAATTTTTAAATTAGAAAATATTCTGGGTAAACTTGATGATGGCATGAAGTACTCTGAACCCCCTTGTATTTAACCCTTTGTGGATATGGCAGTGAGGAGTAGCTGTTCAACCTGTCTCCCAGTCATGCTTCCAAGGCACGGGTTACAGGAGAGGTGAGTCAGCCGTCTAACTTCCTCCGAACAGCCTAGAAGCGGCCCTTGCGTATGCCTCTCCAGCATGTTTTCTGTAACCAAGTAAGTGGTCATGATCAACAGTTGTGTAATGACAGGCATCTTCATCCACCACTTCCTCAAATCCACTAATATTTTATCTTTACATCAACCCTCACTCCACATAACACAAAACCTGCCACTTAGAAATTCCTTTTGGGACCTTTGGTGACGCATTTCATGGCACTGATGGCCTCATCCGCTCCTGAAGGTAATCTGATATTTATGTGATGAGCAAGAATAAACAATGCGTCAAAGGTCAGTCTGCTGAGAGAATCTCACACTATCAGAAGTGTTAGGAACCTAAGCAATCATACAACCCAGCCGTCTCATTTGACAAATGAGAACAATTGAATTCAAGCATTCCTGTCTCAGGCTGCTGGCTTTAGATAGACTGAAATCAATCCAATGCCTAGATTTGTGCTGCCCACGTATTACACTGTTTCCTCCAAAGCCCATTTGAGTTGGGCAGTTCCCTGACTCTGACACATCCCTGTCTAAGAACATTCCTGTTTCAGCCAGGCACAATGCTGCCCACCGGAAAGCCCAGCACTTGGTAAGCTGAGACAAGATAGGGGTTTGAGGATAGCCTGGGGTACAAAAGGAGCACCAAGGCAGAGGAAAGGCTGGGGGCACGGGGAAGGGCAATGGGCTGACAGGTGGATGAGAGCAAAACATGATGGTCCATGCATATAAAGATGACAAAAGGAAACCCCTTCCTTTGTATGCTAACTTTACACTAATAAAAGATCACTTTATATCCCTTGCTATTAGAACTACTGGTAACTAATACACCATATCCTAATAATTCCTTATTGAACTAAAGCACAGAGAAGAAAATGTTAGATTCAGTGTAATTTTGTGAACTTGAGCTGCATGGGACTCCTTGTAAATGGAATTAAGATTTTTGAACTATATATGTGCTAGAACGTCAATGCAAGAACTTTTCTTTGTTTTTGTTTGTTTGTTTGTTTTCAGACAGGGTCTTATCTAACCTAGGCTGGCTTCAAACTATGTGCCTGGGGATTCTCTTGAATTCCTCAAGTTCTGCCTCGCCTCATTATTGGGTGTGTTCCACCACACCCTGCTCACAGCGACTCTGGGCTTCCGAGAAGTTCCTTAGGCATCAGGAGACAAGGAAGTGCTCCACACTTGTGTTTACACACGTATGCACTCAGGTAAATGACCCGTGAGAGCCACACAGGACTAAACGTGGATTTAAGTCTATTTAAGAAGTAAAGAACCCTACAAAGGATTGCTAACATAAGCAAGGAAACCCACAGAGTTGTCGCACTGGCTCTCATGGCTGGTGTCTCCACCCCCGCGGCTGTGGGTTATAGTTGCAACCACCTAATGGAAGACCATATTCAGACCTGGTCTCCATGAACATCATTTTTGGGTCGCATCTGGACTCCTGCCTGTAGCACATATATGGCGACTGGGAACTGTGTACGGAGTGGGCAGACACGTGGCTGTTGACTGGGGATGGAGCGTTACACTCTTGTCTTTCAGAGAAGCTCATTCTGGTCTTCTGAGTTTGGGGGACAAAGGACAGTCTCTGTTTCCAGTCCTCTTGGGACGCCGTAAACACCTTCCTCTGAGCTGCGGAGACTACGTTTGCCACAATAGATTCCTGGATGCTCCGGGGTCTGAAGGCGTCATCCACTAGACCAAGGGGAGACCTGGCTGCTGCTTCCCAAGGTGTTGGTCTCTTGTTTGCTTTCTCCAGCCTGAGGGTCGACTTGCCAGAGGAACTGTGAGCCGGCTGGTACTGCCAAGGAGATGCAGAAATGATGGGTGGGGCTGATTTTCCAGGAAGAGAAAGGGAGCGCCCACTCTCCTAGGAACAGAGAAAATGTTACTATATTTCATTCACTTCTGTTTGGGCTTATTATGGCAAAGCACTTCAGACCCGAAGCCTGGACAGGTTGTCTTACTTCACTTACTCTAGTTCTGGTCTGCTCAAGCCTCACACTCTTCTTTGTTGTCATTGCTCTTTGCTCTCAGAGTTCACACTGCTGACGTCTTTCCCAGGAGTAAGCTCATGGCAGAAACCCTAACGCCACTGGGACCTACCCTTCTCTCTGCCCTCCATACACCCACAGCCCACCTGCTTCATTCCAGTCCTGTTTTTCCAGGCACAAAAGAAACAAAACAGAAAGAGCTCCAGAAATGGCCCACAAATTCCTACAACTTTTACTTTTTCCAAGTAACTTTTTGTTTGGTTGGAGCCTCCAGCTCACCCCTGCACAGTCTGGAGAGCTCATTCCTGTCTCATTCTCCAAACTGCCTGCTCAGAGAGTTTCTGAGCAAAGGAAAGGTGCCAGAAAGCCCAGCTCGGCATTCTTGGTGGCTACTGTAGCTTCCTCCCCTGAAGCTGCCAGTCGCTCAAGTCCCCACCTAAAGTGCCCAGCTTCGACCATACTTGGGCACAAACCCAGCTTGTGGTAGATACATACCCCCCCACCACCACCTACAGCCTATAAAGTCTCTCTGCTTTCATTTGTGGGCATAGCTTCTCTGGCCTGGATCTCTGGGACTGGAGAACTCACCCTGGAGCTGTCTTGCTCAAATAAACCTGTTGTTATACCTTTTCTTTTTGGCTTGATCTGGCTTACTGCATTGGTATAAAAAACCTATTTGTGGTGGGGTGGCAGAAAACCCATTACTTTTAATTGCTTGACTCATGGTTCACGGAATTCACTAACAGCCACTTAGAAGTGGTTACTAGTGTGAAGAAGTGATAGCCATCTTTCCTCTCAGAAACTATTTATGTAATGAGGATCATATGACATGGGTCTTTATTCTCTGGCTCCGTCTCTGTCTCCTCTCTTTTCTTTCATTGCTTTACAGACATAGTCTCACTCTGATCTCTGGGAAATCTTATTGATTCAGCCTCTCAAGGGCTAGGATTGTAGCCCCCAGTCACCAAGCTCTTGTGTCTTTAGTTCTCAAGGGAGAGACATGGTCCCTGTCTCTGAGGGAGCCACTCTGCTGGTCTCATTTGCATTTTGGCTCCATTTTTATTTGTATTGCATTCCAGAGTCTTTCAGAGTTTGGCTCTCTGCTTAGCTAATCTGTAGCAGTCTGGCTTATTGAAAACTTGACCCTTCGCCCTCCTGTCACCTAGAAACTCTAGCCACCAACTGTCCTCTGTACTTTCTCCTGTGTGCATTCCTCTTTACACGGGACTCACTTAGTCAAACTGCTAGGGAAAGATGCAAGGGAAAATGAGTCAACTCTGGAAGTATCAAAGCATTGTTTCTTAGCCAGGCATGGTGGAACTACCAACAATTCTAGCACTTATGAGATAAAGGAAGGAGAATCGGAAGTCCAAGGTCAGCCTCAGCCTCACAATGTGTTAGACACAAGCCTGGGCAACCACGTGCGACTTGCCTCAAGAAACCACCTCCACACCCACACACACCCACCCCCCACAAAATGGGAGAGGGAGGAAGAGGAGATATGTTGAACAAAAGGCCATACTTGAAGATGGATTCAAATTTCCCAGTTTCTAAACATTTCTCACTTAACCAACTAAGTGAATAGCAACACTGAATTTGAGCAAAAATGTCTCAGACTCAGCTGGGATTTTCTTTTCAACGTGCCCCTCACCCCACCCCTACACACAGGCATACCACAGGAGATGACTGGTTCCTCATCTGTGGATGAAGAGTAGAGGTGCCAATACAGTAGATGTTAGTTCTCTTCTTTTAGTCACTAAAATTTGCCTATGATACTTGAATCCCAGCAAAAAGTTGTTCCTATTAATGTCCTTATCTTAATTCAGAGCTATAGGCAAACCTTCCTCACTATAGAGTGAGCAGAGTATATGGTTTTTTTTTTTTGGTCACCTTTGACCTACACTACATTTTAAATTTTTTTTTTTTTTTTTGGTTTTTCGAGACAGGGTTTCTCTGCATTGTTTTGGAGGCTGTCCTGGAATCGGCTCTGTAGACCAGGCTGGCCTCGAACTCACAGAGATCCACCTGCCTCTGCCTCCCGAGTGCTGGGATTAAAGGCGTGTGCCACCAACGCCCGGCACATTTTAAAATTTGACAACAAAATTTCACACGTTCTGTGTTACTCATGTGTCGTTCCATAAACTTATTTATCATCTTTTATGGAATATCTAATACTTCCAAACACTGTTCTATGAGCTAAAGGCACAGAGACAATAAGGACCGTGTCCTGGAGCACAGGATCCAATACCATTTAGGCTCCCAGGGCATGTCCAATAATTACATAGTGAAGAGCCACTACCTACCTTTATAGGAAAAATGGTTTGGTTTTGTTTTTCCTAACTTTGAAGAAAGATTGTCTGTGAAAGAGAGAGATAGCTGCCCCCACAGCATATGTCTGTGCTTTGTCAGTAGCTGTGGAAGGGCTGACTACCTTTGGCCTCCAGAGCGTCTGGGAAAATTTTTAGATTCTAGTGATACCTGCAGAGGACTCATCTGGTTAGGTGCAGTTCTTTCAGTACATGCCAGTGCTTATAACAGCACAGCTGAGGGGACAGTAACAGACGGAGGAACCCAGGACTCCATCGAAACACAGGATAGACTCGGAAGTGATGAGATGCCTAAAACACTGGCTGAAGGAAATGCATTTTATGCCTTTCTTCCCAACTCACTTATTTTGAAACTCTTAATAGAAATGGAAAGTTCCAAGCATTTTCAGTGATACCCTGGTATGAAAGATAAGGCTTTTATCAGCTAAAAGAAATATTTTAGTCAAATATGTACAGAGAAAAGTAAAGCTTTTGAGGTATGCTGATGAAAGAGAAAGTCAGGGCTTTCTGAGGGGGAACAGTCAAAACCATATGAAGAGCAAATGAAATTCCACGTGGAATGCACACTTGCCCAGTCAGTTGTGAGGAAGGAAGAGTCATTATTTCAATGAACAAACAGATGGTCCTGCCACATAGGCCTTCATGATCTTTAACTGCTAGTCATAGGGGATAAACTTGTAAATTATCTTAGGTTGGAGATGTGATTACAATAAAAATGACTCCTCTCTAGGTACACAGTTGTGTGTGTGAGTATGTGTGTGTGCCCCAAATACAAAATGTTTCTACTCTGGCTTTCACCTAAATCCCTGATTTTAAATCTCCATGTCTTGTTCACTGGTGTTATGTCTGTCTCTGTCTCAAGGCTCTTGGTGCTCTCTCCTTAGCTGGTAACTGAAATCATGTGACAAACTTTGATGCAGAAACAACTCAGGGACCTGAAAATACCAGAAACATTTCTTCTGTTTTGAAGTTTTCCTTTGGTGTGGTAGAACTCCAGCTTGACCCCACTGACTATGCCTCCATCGTGTGTTTTATTATTATCAAAGGAATAAAAAAAGTCACTTGTTTTATTTATTATCGTGTGTGTCAGTGTAGAATATGCAACTTCCTGAGTATGGAGGTCAGGGGACAGTTTTCAGGAGTGGCTTTTCTCCTGCTGAGGGATCCAGGACTAAATTCAAGGCAGACTTGCATGGCGAGTGTTTTTACCCACTGAGCTGTCCTGCCTGGCCTGAATGAAAGTTCTTTTGATTAGAGAGTATTTATCATTTATTAGTAGTTAACATGTCAAGTTGGCTTTCGTGGTGACCTCATCAAATTGTTTCTCTTTTCTCCATCACCTTTGAAGTTTTGTCTAACAAAAGGAAAGACATTTTTTTCCCTGCCCAAACCCAGCAGGTCCCCACATCCTGTTTATTGTTAGGGGTAGTTCTGTAGCTACTCAAATTACCCAAACCAGGCTTATTTTGAATTAGAAGGCTCCACCCCTGTCCAAGCTCTAATTTTAACTCAAAGTGAAAGCTCCTGCCCATTCCCCATGGAGGCTAGAGCTTCACCTGCTGTAAGGAAGGGGTAATGTAGGGCCCTCTCTTTTTTCTCCCTGCTTGCTAACTCTGACTCCAAGGGATGAAGGGCAAGGATGAAGAAAAGCAGAGAAAAGGAAGTTTTTCAGTAACACTAACTTCTGACTCTTAGCTCTTGGGACAGGCGTGAGAGGGAGAGAGACTTTCATAGGATAAATGCAAAGATTACTCCCTGAGGACATAGCCCATGGTTCTTGATGTGTGTGTGTGTGTGTGTTTGACACAGACTAGAGTTATCTGGGAAGAGAAACTTCAGCTGAGAAGACAACTCCACCGATTTTTGTAGGCAACTTTGAAAGGCATTTTCTTGATGAATGACTGATATGGAAGGAGCCAGTCCACTGTGGGTGGTGCCATCTGTGGGCTGTGGTCCTCTCGTATATAAGAAAGCAGGCAAAGCAAACCAAAGGGAGCAAGTCAGTAAGCAGCATTCCTCCACAGCCTCTGTTTCTGTTCCTGGCTCCAGGTTTCTGCTCTGACTTGCTTAGTGATGGAATTGAACCTAAGAGCTCTAAGATGAAATGAGCCTTTTGTCCCCAGCTGCTTTTGCCCTTTGTACTTCATCTCAACAACTAAGACATTGCGACTTCTCTCCATTCTAGGAGGTAATTTGTAAGTCGTTCCACATTCACTTAGGAATCTGTCTATCTTAGCTTGTGGCTATTAGTTTCCATTTGCCTTCCTGGGAGGCCGGCTGAGTATGCAGTTTGGTTTTCCCTTGCTCCTGCCCTGTCCTGTTCCGTGAGGAAACACATACCGTTTGTGGGCAAGAGGCAGAACATTTCCTGGCTCTTTGCCAGCACAGTTTGCCAGCTTGTCTCTCCCCCTCCAGATTTCCTGAGCATGTCAGGTCACAGCCCTCTCTGACCCCTCAGCTGTCCTCTAACTACCTGTCATGTCAGCTTTTCTCAGACAGGTCTGGGGTGACAGGATAGGGTCCCTGAGCATCACCTCCATTGTCCTTGT